AGATGTGTACTTAGTTGATTAATCAGGACTTTTTATGGCGTCGAAATTTGACAAAATTGACATCAAGCCTGAACTCGATGTAACTGGTGAACGTAATTTGCCCCTAATTCATATTCAAAACTTATTTAACTTGTTTTTTTTGCCACAGTTGTGTCAGTCAAGCGTGCATTTCAGGATTTCTTTACATTTCTTTCTGCCCGTCTTTCATACTGTACCCAGTGATGAAAGTCAAATCCCATTTTAAACAAATATCTATTTTGACACCAAAAACACTCGAGGGATATTCTGGGAGGCAAAATGAGATTGTGACAAGGATGAGTGGGCGGATGACACTTTAAAATGGCATTCCCTTTGAACTGATGCTTCAGAATAAAATTTGAACATGGCTCATGGAAGTTCACTGGAAGATGCCTCTCTGAAAAGGCAGAAAAGAGCAACGTGTCTTAGATCACGGATGACTGGTTGACTGCCTCCACACCAAAAAAACAACAACAACTCAAAGACGACTTCACTGGAAGTAAATCAGTCCTCGTCTATTGTTCCATGCTTGCATAAGAAATTTTCTATAACAACCGCTCAGGGGCTTCAGCGTTGTAAATCTGCTGTTTGGATATATATCAAACATAGGATTATTCGCAGGGAAGAGGGCATCTCAGCTCACAGCGAGGATGACACATAGTGATGTGGTCATTCTAAAGCTTAAGCTCTGGTCATGGGTGCAGGATGACTGATGCTCAGACGCACTGTCACAAGATGTCCCTGGGACAGCACATCTCCTCGCGAACTGTTGGGTTCACCCTGATGAGCACGCAAATCATTGCTATTTGTATTCCTCTGAAGGCTATCTGTCATATTCACTAGGTTTGTTTCTCCCCTGTGCACTTCCAGGGGCTGGTGACTGAATTGCAATGCTGCGTTAATTATCCAATTTGTTAAAATCAGTGGCTGTAGAGAGGACCGAGGAAAACCTCCTGACTCGTGTCTCAAAATGTCCATGAGATCTCTCAGCAGTCGCCCCAAACTTGCCAGGGTCACCTTTGAAATCACGGTGTAATGAATGCATTTGGCTGTGAAGGAGTGATGTTCAGTACTGCACTACATGATATTTAGATTAACATAAAATTGCAATGCTGCCTCTTCCTAACGCTTCGGACCGGTGATCATCGCAGCAGTTTATTACAGCTAGCTGACATTAGTGTGGTAACACATGCAGTGCAAAACTGCTGCAAGGCCATTTGTTGTTGTAAGAATGGCCTATTTGTTAAAATAGTGACTTTTATGAGAATATTTGATTATTTCTTGTCATTGGTTAGATGACTAACTATCTAACTATCTCCTTCATGGACAACAATCTCATTCTGAGTTTGATGTAGACTGTTTACAGAAGCGTACTATACTAACTCTTTGATGTTACAAGGGGAATTAAAATGATGACATTCATTTTCTGATGGATTGTTCCCTTTATATATCATCTCTTTCCATCCAGGTGTCAGACAGGTGCGACTATGTTTTCGTGAATGGCAAAGAGACGAAGGGCAAGGTGAAGTTGGTGGTGAACTTTACCTATAGCTACCTGAGTGCTCAGCTCGAACTGTACGTGTGGATGCCCCGACTCCCTCTCCAGATTGAGGTGTCTGACAACGAGCTGAGCCAGATCAAAAGCTGGAGGGTACCCATACTAACCTCAAAAAGGTGAGACACACAAATAAACCACTTGTTTATCACAACAACTCACCTTATTTGGTTTTTAGATGGGATTTCCAGAAGCGTCCTTGAGCCCATACAAATCCAAATCATATCTTTCCCAAGGGTTTAGGGATTTGATTCCATTATATAATGTGTTGCAGTATCTCAATGTGATCTAATCAAGCAAAGAGACAGGCTTGAGTGATTGGACAATAGCAGGTAAAAGCATTTACCATGTGACAGGTGTGACTTCACATGTGTTTTTGTTCTCATGTCCTAGACCTGGCTGGAACAGTGAAGAAGACAGGAAGGGAAAGGGCTGCATGCTTCAGTTTCAGCACGCCCTGGTGCGGGTGCTAACTCACTTCGTGGCAGAGCAGGCAGACCCTCGGGATCCTAAGGCTTATTTCCTGGGCTCCGATTGGCAGGTGGATGTCACAAGGCTGGTTCGATACTTCATGAAGGTGGAGGACCCTCGAGTGGCTAGGTTGCAGGCAGGAAGGGTGCTGTCAGGACGAGACCTCGGGACCACCACCATCCAGGTAATGAACTAAACTACTGCTTGGATAAAGGGCTTGATGGGGTAGTTTCCTTCTGTTTTACTTTGAAACTCATGAACTGAACTTGTCCTGGCAAAGAAATAAAGGCTGAGGCCCCCCTAACTCATTTACTGTGTCTGATAATGTTTGTGACAGGTGTTTTCTCCACTGTCTGACGCAATCTTGGCTAAGACAACTATCAAAGTCGTAGATGACAAAGTGACTATCACAGATTTGGGGGTCCAGCTGGTTGCAGGCCTCTCCATGACTTTACAGCTCAGTACCGGAAGCAATAGGGCCATCCTGGCTACCACAAGCACTCAGGAGTTTCTACAGACCCCCAAACAGGTAACCATTGAATCTGAAACTGAATCCATTGAAATATTTAAAAGATGAGCAAAAGCACAATTACAATTTCTCCTGTTTTCTCTTCTTTCAGGAAGCTTTGGTCAGTGCCTGGGTGCAGTTCAGTGATGGCAACCAGACTCCTCTTGACATTTATAATCCGGCTTTCTACAGAGTGACGGTGACATCTCTAGATCCGGGGGTGGTGTCAGTGCAGGGCACTCTTCCCACAGTGGTCGCAGAGGGTGAGGGCGAGGGAGTCCTGGTCAGAGTCGAGATGTCCATCTGCGAGTCATGCCAGAAGTCCAAACGCAAAAGCACAGTGGCGGTGGGCAACGGCAGCCTCAAGGTCAAGTTTCAAGTGAACAGTCGGCGCCCAGACGGCAATTACAGCAGCACTGTTAGGATCAAGGACAACGGCAGTGACTATGGAAACGATAGGGAAGAGGTGGGCAGCGAGAGAAAGCAGAGGGAGCCGTCCTACGGTCCTCCGCCACGCAGCTCAACCTTAGATAGAGAGGAGAGTGCAATGCAGAAGATCACAACCACGATCAAATCTACAGAACAAACCTCCATCACCAGCGGCAGCCTCGGAGGAGTGGGTAAGACCGGCAATTCAGGAAACCCCGGCAGTCCTACCAGCTTGGTGAATATCAGCATGATGAACAGTCCAAGTGACGGCAGCAAAGCGTACGGCTTAGACAATATGATAGTGGAGGATATGAGCAGTGTTAGCTTTACCAGCACTGTGAAGGCCCCTGGGAACCTTGTGAACTATAACTTCCCCAATAAGGCGGAGGTACCTGGGCAGGAGACAGAGGAGGTAGAAACTGGTGGTGAAGAAATGTTGGCCAACAGGCCGCTCACAGACTTGGAGATTGGCATGTACGCTCTGTTAGGCGTCTTTTGCCTGGCCATCTTGGTTTTTCTGGTTAATTGTATCTCATATGTAGTCAAGTTCAGGCACAAGAAGCCTCCCTCTCATGGCCAGGAGCCCACAGGGCACAGGCATGACTGGGTGTGGCTCGGCACAGACGCTGAGCTGGTGATGAGCGTGCCAGGCAGTCCTGTCCAGCAAGACTCCCAGACTACAACCACCGTCATAGACATTGGGCCTGATAAGACTTCCTCTCTGTCCAGGAGGCCCAGTTGCCTAGCCTCCGTCACAGACTCACCCCTCAGCTGCATGGGCTCCCTCAGGAGCAAACCTATGCACACCGAGTCCCTCCACTCGCCCACCAGCAAGAGAAAGAGAGTCCAGTTCACAACCTTCTCCACTCTGGAGCGCCAGCATTCGCCACATCTCCCGCCCAGAGAGAACGGCTATGGCATCCACTGGGTTGGGAAGCAGGACAGTTGTGAGGAGGAACCCCAAGTGCCCATGACAGAGGCTGGGGACCAGTTATAATACAGAGCCTGATCAGACCTCACATGTACAGTAGACGTGGCTTTGATCACCTCAATGCCTTTGTCAACAATAACTGTCTAGAATATGTGATTTTGGAATTTCCCCCCTTCTACATTTCATTACCTATCAAGGCCTTTTACATGTACTGTATATTATTGTTAATATTAGAGTGTGGATGCGTGGTAGATGGTTGACCAGATGGGAGTCTTATTTATACGTTTAAAGCCACCAAATGTTAATGATGCATGTGGATATCAACTTCTCTACATTTTTTTGTACTCACTTGCTGGTATACACACTACAAAAACACACTTAATAAGTATACCAAACAACAAAAACAATTCATTATTTACCAGTTATAATACAAAACTCAGTCTGACGTATATGGGTTTCACCAAGAATGTGGCTTTGATTCAACATTCTTCTAACTGAAATGGATGTGCTATTATGCAATATCCAAGACCCATTTCTTTGTATATTTATGTCAAATTTTCATTTTGTTTTTCATTAAAACACTATGGTCTTGAATATTTCCTTTTACTTTTTTCTGCTAAGTACCTACTTTAAAAAAAAAGAAGAGGCATATGATCTCTGATAACAGTATGCATGTAAGTTATTGATGTTCATCAATATTTTGTGTAATGCTTAATTTTACAGTTGCAACAAAAACATTGCATACTGCAAAGCTTCTGAGAGAACATTCACGTTTGTCCTAACCAGCCCATTCCCCAGCCTGCTGCCAAAATCAACCTTTGTAACAGCAAATTACAAGAACCCTTTGCTGCCCTTTAAACCAATTGAGTTTTTGCAGAGCCCCTTGAATGTGTGCAAAAAATAATTTGGTAGCATACAGACTGGAACACTTTTAGCGAGAGTAGATAAGCTTATCCACTGCATTTGAGGAAAGATCGAGATTTAATGGCACTTTCAGAATGTTAAGTAAGTAATTGGATACTTTTGTCTCAATAGAGGGAATGAAAATACATTTTCAGATCAACAACCATGCAAAAACAACCAGTGGAGCCGTTTGTCTCTTTTATTAAGTAGAATGAATAAACAGAGAACACATGCCGTTTTATATTCATACCAAACCATAAATAACAGTACTTCAACACTTTGAAATGCATAAAATATATTAACAAGACAACCATATCTACTCTGGGTCTTTGGTTCAAAGTGTTCTGCGGCATAATTTCAATCTGCCAGAGCAGATAAAATAGGATTATTTTGTACAGCGTCTTTGTAGCCCGATTTCTTAAAAGACATTTGTGATAATTTAACCTATAAATAAACCGGTGTTATGGCCCGCTCTCTGTCGCTGCAGTTCCTGAGAAAGTACAGAGTGGGGTTGAACGCTGTGACCTTACGCTAAGAGCAGAGTGTCCACCAGCCGCTGGTAGGTTTCTCTCTCCTGTTTCAGGCCGTGATGCTCTTCCACGTAGAGTTTTCCATTCCTCACCACTCTCTCTCTCAGCTCGTGATCTGACAACAGTCTCTGAGATTGATGCACAAATTCCTGGCAGGGATAAAAGCAAAACGAGTCTCATTTACTGCCAAATGCCACTTAAAGCATGCCATTGAAGTTGCCTGAAGATATGTTTTTTTTTTAAAGCATAAAAGATCATCCAAGGCACGAGAACAACAACTCAGATAGGAGCCTGTGCGCTGATTAGTGAATACTTAAAAAATGTCTGTACGTCGCCAAAGGATGGAGATATTTGTGGCTCCAGATTCACATACCGCTGTCCAATAGACCTTTTCAGTCTATCCTAATAGCTGCCACCACAGTTTAACAATACCATCACACCAGCTGTCACAGGGACACGGGAGGCGAAGATGGGAATTAAAATGAGATAATTAAGAAATGAGTAATGGTGTCATCGCTGAGCATTGACTGAGATATGATGTATCCACATGGCTTCCTGAATCCTAGTTGCTCATCTGTTGGCCCAGCAGACTGAAAACAATCCTCCAACAAAATGAAGTGAAAGTGCTTTGAAGTGTTCCTGCAACATGGCAGCCAACACTTGCTGAAGAAGAGAGCCAATGGGCACACACAGTTTCAGCCACTGCCAGTCAGCAGGCCAATTCACTTTACTTCATTCAAGTGATGTGATTACGTCTGGAGTGGCTATTGATAGGAAACGGCTCCTCTGTATGGCCATATGAGAGCTATAAATCCTCTGCAACTAGATTAAAGCTCAATTTATAAACAGCACGCTTATAATCATTTCACTCCTATTGCAAATGATTGAGCCAGGCAGGAAGTGCCATTTTTCTCTTTAAAGCTTTAAAGTGCTGGTGTGTTTCTTTCTTCTGACACATTTCTTGATACCTACACTCCTCGTGTAATTACTTTGAAGGCTTAAAGAACCAGAAACACTGTCAACCAAACATAAGAGGGGGTTTTAAAGCACGCAGACAAAGTCTTTGAGCGTGATCCACTGCAGGAAAAGTTTTTGAATGAAAGACTAGCACTGACTGCCTATCGGTCCTGGCTGAGGTCGTGGTTTATCCAGCCCAAGTTGCCACAACCATCTGTGAGAGCTTCGTCCTGGCAGCTGAGCTCAACACACGTGACCCCCCCCGGAGAGGACTTATCTCCACCCTTACAGCAACAACATCACGCAAGAGCATGGTGTCTTGACAGCACCACGCTCAAACCCTCTATCAACGAGCCCCTAACCCATATTTTCTTTTGCATCAAACCTCATTATAGATCAGACTGAAAAGCTCCCATGGGAGCTCATCACTTTGCACTTTCCTGCATGCTGCCGTGTGTTGCATCACCACATGCGGTATCTTCGCTCCGTCCCTGAAGGCTGCCCTTTTTGATCCTAATCTAAGCACCTGGGGAAACATCTGCTCCTTTTGTTATATTTCATCTGCTTGGATTGGACTAATGATAAGAATTTAAAGTACAAAGTTTTACAAAATGATGTAAAGATTTCCAACTTCAAGTTGTGAGAGTTTTCTTAAGATAAATCTATGCCAGGAAGGGGACATACCTAACCTTCAGTCATCCGGATACAGTGCTTTAATTCTACCTACAGTATTAGCAGTAAGCACTTTTCGGGGCTAGTTGAGGTGACAGGAGTAGCTGTTGGCAGTAAATCCCTTCTGTAGTCCATCAATACAGTCAATGTGACAGCTTAATAGGGCTTAACGCATGCGGTCACCATACCTGAGGAGACGAGTACAGCAGGCCAGTGAACTCATGGTGCACTACGGCTGCATTTCCTGGGATGTCCCTGGCACACACAGGTACCCCGAGATCCATTGCCTGTTGGTGCAGAGACATTAAATGCTTAAAAGTCGCTGCGACTCATTCAGTCATTATCATAAAAAAACAAAAGACTAAGCACCTTGAAAGTTGTACAGCTCAGCCCTTCTGCTCTTCAGTGCCTTGGTTTACTTACAGAATAATTCATCTGTATCTGCTAATACATTCAGCAGGTTGTTGAGTGAAAATATGCTAACGGACTAATCAGACTTTAAGCCCACTGTGGGTTGTCTTAATCGACTGTGTTTAAAAGAGATTAAGTGGATTTGCAGGTTTTGCACACTCAGGAATGGGAGTCAAGCAATTCATTTGGGTAATTGTCCCTGAAGTGGTCAGATAACATTGTAGCACAGCAAGAAACAGCGAGATAACGACTCCTGTAAATATTCACTCAGTTTCACATTATTTTTATGGGCTTTGGATGGCAAATTCTCATTTTACATTTTGATAAATTACCAAAATATTCAGCAAAACACTGCGTGAGCTATACAAATATACAATTGTGTTCAGCAGCTGAATTACTGAAGTCAGGAAGGACGTGCTATTGTCCAGTTAGCCATGGGCCTGCAAGATGTTTACCTCCAAAATGGCCGCCGACATGCCCTCTGAGACGGAGCTGTTAACCACGGTGAAGCACCTTTTCATGGCAGCATGAAGCTCCCGTTGGCTCCTCTCCTGGGCCAAGAACACCCCTGCTGTTCTGCAGAAGCAGCGGCAAAACTCAGTTCTGCGTGACTCAGGGCTAACAGAGGCGTGAATGATGCTAAAGGACAGTGACAGGCTCAGGGAAGGAAACACAAATGCACTATGTGGGGGCATGCACACAAGAGTCCAGGTAAACCAGAGAGGGCAGCTTCCTGCCGCAAAGAGTATTGTTGTGGTGTTGTGGCCCTTGGCAACAAGCTAAAAGATCAGCTAAGACTTAAGAGTGGGAGGACAGATACAAAATAAAAAGAGGATCTTGGTGCTACTCTCAGATTTTCATTCTGTACACATTATGTCAAGATAAAGGTGAGCTACATTTGCTTAGATATTTTCTTGTGCCACATGGGATCAATAGTGAGATAAGCAGTCTTTAAATTTCTTGCAGGAGGAAAGTCTTGATTGTCAGAGCTCAAGTCTCCTTTAATAGGATTTATAACTGGTAAGGAAAACCCAAAAAAAGAAAGCTTACTTTTTAACAACGGCTTCCACTTCAACAGTAAACACGGGGTCGATCTAAGAGAGAGAGAGAGAAACCTGTCAGCCGTGACTTAATCTGAAGGATGGAATACAAACAATGACACAATGAATCATTTATATCAAGATCAAATCATTCTCTGTGAAATCCTGTATTTTCAGAGATTGGGGTCAGGGTAGGGTGGGTGGCCAATCTGATTAATTGCAATGTGGGATTTGCGTGCATTAGCATGCCCACAGAAAAGTCAAAGCATAGCAATTTAGGTCAAAGATGCTGCCAAGCAAGCTCCTACTTGTTTCTCTTGCATTTCATAGCTCATGGAAATTCTAAATGGAATCTGCTTTAAATCATGTCTGCATTAAAATCAAAGTATCTAAACTGAGAAAAAAAAATTGTATCCTGGTGTAATCTGGGATTTAGCAGCCATTGAACAACCAGCAGGGGATAGATCAAGATAAAGGCTGTATCAGCAAACACAAATGATTTAAGCACTGTACTGATTCTGTAGACCAGTTCTTCGTGAAACTGAGGGGAAGGACGTGGCCAGTCAGACACTATATATACATATACACATATATATATATA